GGGTTCTCAGGAGGGATAACTGGGGTTCTCAGGAGGGATAAGCAGGGTTCTCAGGAGGGATAACTGGGGTTCTCAGGAGGGATAATTGGGATTCTCAGGAGGGATAAGTGGGGTTCTCAGGAGGGATAATTGGGGTTCTCAGGAGGAATAACTGGGGTTCTCAGGAGGGATAACTGGGGTTCTCAGGAGGGATAACTGGGGTTCTCAGGAGGGATAACTGGGATTTGGCAGCCCTGGCTCACCCGAGTTCGGCGTCGAGGGGGAGTTGCCCTGGTTGCCCTGGGCCACCACGTTGGTCGCGTCCACGGCGGTTTTGGCAGCGTAAATATTGGCTTCTTCCTGGAACTTCCCCATGTTCTTCTTGTAGCGGATTCTTTTGTTCCCAAACCAGTTGGAAACCTGGCGGAGACACAGCCCGGGCTGAGCACTGGGGCAAAACAGTCCCTTTTCCACAACATTTGGGATTTTCCAGCCAAGGGGGGTTTGAAACAAGGCTTCGAGCAAGAAATAGCCAAGATTAAACCCTGTTTAAACCGGAGCCTGTCTCAGTTTAAGGGCCAATAACTAAAACCTGCTGCTAAAAAATGATAAAAAATGATCAAATTACTGTCTGAGGGGGAAAAAAGGTGCCTTGCACTCGGGGAAAGCTGCTCCCACCTGGGACACGGTGATGCCCCCTTTCTTGGCGAGCTCCTCTTTGGCCTCTTCACTGGGGTAGGGGTTGCTCAGGTGTGAGTAAAAATACTCATTCAGCACTTCCGTGGCCTGTTTGCTGAAATTGCGCCGTTTACGCCTAAAAAACCACAGAACAAAGGAGTCATTTCTGTTGAATGGGGTTTTAAGGGACCTGCTGGGGCGTCTGGAGGCCTTTCTTCCCTCTGAAACACCTTTGGTCGGGAGGAGAACGGGGGGATCGAGGGGATGAAGGTTTTGTTAATTGAACTAAAATTAAATTTATTCACGCCAAAATACCATCTCTGCCCACAGGGCCCGGGACTGTGGCCCTGCCCCAGCAGTTACACTGTGGAATAAGTCCATTTGTATCTCACATTCCCACTCTCTCCCACAGGGCCCGGGCCGTACCCCAGCAGTTACACTGTGGAATGAGTCCATTTCTATCTCACATTCCCACTCTCTCCCACAGGGCCTGGCCGTACCCCAGCAGTTACA